TGATTTTATGTTGCTATATTATCAATAAAAGTTTTATTTTTTTTTTTATGATACAGAGCACATATATGTACATGAGACAGAGAGGAGGGAGGGAGAAAGAGAGGCAATTTTGACAGGGTCTCATCATGCCTTGATTCCCCTTCCTAAGGCCCCAGCCCCTCAGGATCCTGGGTGCCTGCTATGTGTTCAGCCCAGTCTAGAGATCCAAACCCATGGTCGGCCAATATGGCGCCCAGCCAGCCTTTCCAGGGTTTTCACATTACTGCTGCACTGTAGCTGCTGGACCAATAAGAGCTGTTTTAGTTAAAAGAAACCTGATCATTTAAAATTTTCTTTGGTCTTGCTTTTCAATATTCAACACAAATATTTTGCATTTCAAGCTCTGAATCAAGCCTTTTCACTACTGTACATTTAAGTAGATCTTTTTTCATTAGTACATTTCTAAATAGAGCTTTAGCGTACATACACAGACGTCATATACTTTCTTTCTAAGAGAGATTTTTGCCATAGGGCATGTGTGCTCACTGGAGAGACAGAGACGAAGAGAGAGAAAGTGAGAAATCACCCCCCAGGGGAGATGGCCACATCACAATCTCTTCTCCTTCGTTCTCTTGGGATTTGGGTCATGCATGCACATGCGCCCAATGTACGGTTCAAGTCACTGCGCCACCTGCTGGCCCCCTCATACACTTATGTTAATAGATTTTTCTGCACATGCATATTTCTTTCCTGTTTGTTTCAATATAAAAAGACTCATAACACTCAAAGACTGCAACTGGATATATTTCGTCAAATGTAAGATGCCACTGATCTTACAACAGACCATTATCCTACCTACCTCCAGAAAGCAAAAAGCTGCAATAATAATTGTAAGACACCAGTGACTACAAAACACTTTCAGGGCTGAGGACGTGAAAACTTTGCACTCAGAATCAATGAAACAGGTATCTGATTTATGTTAACAAGCTATAGGAAGAGTGATCAGAAGTTGTCTACGAAATTCAAGATGTTCAGGAAATAGTACTATTGTTAGAAATATATTAAATGTAACAATTTGCAAAGTGAAAACGACTCATTACAACATTCTGCTGAATTTGTACAATGTTCTAAAATAATTACTTTTCCTTAAAATTTTTTCTGATTTGCCCCTAAAATGATCGATTCATAACATACTTGTTTTCTTTATTCCTTCTTCCCAAGGTACTTTAGGCTTCCATCCTAAGCCATGGATTTTTTCTGACTTCATTGGATATCTCATGTCATTGGTAGGTCTTAAAAAACAAAACAGATTTAAAATGACAGTGTGATACATATTTACAAATTTAAATACCAAGAGATACAGGGTTGATGAATGTGTGTCCATTCATCTTTACCATAATCCAAGTTTTTTCTTAAAAACATTCCCCTCAGGGCTGGCCCTGTAGCAGAGTGGCTTAGTGCATGCACAGAAAACTGGATCCCACACTGCCAACTACGGTTCAACTACCAGCCTGGCATCTTGAAAAACACACTTGGTGTGTGTGCGTGTATACCTAAAGTCCTGACAGGATGGAGAAACAGAGGGGAAAAGGGCTGTGACATGCACGTCCCACTGTGGGGTTCTCTCTCTCTAAAGAGCACACATACCCTTTGGCAATTAAAAAAAATCCCCTTGATAATGCTGATTGTAGAAAATTTGTAAAATAAAATACATATTAATAAACAAAACAAACAAAACCTCAAGGCCAGCAGGTAGCATGGTGGTTAAGGTGGACTCCCACATGGCCAACTGCAATCTGCATCCCAGAACTGGTGCCTTGAAAATAATTCCGAGTGTGTGTATGTGCATGCCCAAAATCCCAGGAGGAAAATGGAAGCGAAGGGACTACAGCATGGGGTGAGTTCTCACTTGCTCTCTTACTGTCCCTCTCTCTCCCTGGTGAGTATACACCCCCTATGTCAATTAAAAGAAAAAAAGAAAACTAAAAACTCCTCCATAATCCCAGATCCCTAGCCCTCTCTATGGGCTATCCTTTTCTTATTTCAGCCAGTCTAGGTATAGCACAGTGCCTGACGCACATAAGGAACTCAATAAACGGCCAAGCCCGAGGTCAGGTACTTTATATATACTATAGTTAAACTTGAAGGTTTTTATAAGCAAGTTGTTGTTATTCCTATTCCAACATAAAGGAAACCTCAGACTTAGAAATGGCAATAACTTTAAGTCACACTGCCGTAAGTAGTAGTGCTACGTTCAATGTGTGTGACACTTATCATTAGGAGAAAGATATTTGACCAGAAAACTCAAAAGAGATAGGCTAGTTTCCAAGCCAGTCCATATAGTTGATAATTTTGTAAGTACCTAAGATTTCACAACTTCTCTGATGTTTCACTAGTTACTCACCTGTCATTAACATAATCAACCCAGTTTTCCATTTCAGACTCTGAATTGGTCTCTTTGATCTGTCAAAGTAGAAAAGATTTTTAGGTCAAGTTATGAAATGAGACCAGAAAATAACAGTGGTATTTACTAGCTGATTCAAAAGCCAAGAAAAACAATTGCCTGAAAGTGGAGGACACAGCCAAAGTGGACAGCAATTTAGCAACACTTTGGCTTTTTGAGAGAGGTTTTTGCTACAGGGCGCATGCGCTCATTGCAAAGACACAGAGAGAGACAGAGAGAATTCACCCCAGGAGAGATGGCCACGCCACAATCCCTCCTCCTCCATTCTCCTCTTGGGATTTTGGGCACGCATGCACATGTGCCCAGCATGAGTTTTAAGTTGCTGGGTCCAGGACTCAAACCACGGTCAACTATGTGGGAGTCCAGTGACATAACCATTATACCATCTGCTGGTCCCCAGTTTAGCAACATTTCCTATACTTTATAACTTAAAGTCCACCTGGAACTCACAAAGCATACATACTGTATAAACTATGGGGAAAATAATTTTTTTTAAGAGTTTGATTATTACTTAGTCCTCCTTTTTACTAAATTCTAAGATTTATCATTGATGTTCCTTATATTCTCTTTCTCTGGTGAGCGCATGGTGCCCTATGGCAAAAAAAATTTAAAAATCTAACTATAACCATTTTAGATATCATTGTAACTGATTCTAAGACACAATTTTATGTTTCTGAAATTGAGACATGTCTTATAATTAGAAATTAAATAAATGATTTTTTTCCTCAAAAGCTGTTACTAAATGAATGATACTTCAAATGAAAACACACATATATACATAATTAGGAACTTCATTTTCTACTTGTTCACCTTAAACTACGTAAACTGTGCACTCCTGATTTTGAATAAATTAATGATTACTGTCACTAATTCAGTGATGATTTTGAAAATGTGACCACCCTTTTATAATAGATACATACCAGCTGTATTAGTTCTTTGGCAAGCTGGACAACTGACATCTCAAAATTGGTTCCGATGTTATAAATTTCACCTGGTTTTCCCTTTCTGAGGACAGTGAGAAAAGCTTCCACTACATCAGTAGCATAAAGGAAATTTCTTGTTTGAAGCCCTGATCCATGAATGCAGCTAAATAGATGAAATGAAGTGGAATCATAAGGCGTGAACAAATAAATAAATAAGTGCTCCTAAACCAGTTTACAACAATGAGTGAGTATGACTCCAGAGAAGCCAAACCACAGGGGGATCATAGGGATCTATTACTGAAAATACAAATTCTCGGGAACCAGCAGTTAGCGTAATGGCTATGTCGCTGGACTCCCACATAGTCGACCGCGGTTCGTGTCCCGGACCCGGTGGCTTAAAACTCACGCTGGGCGTGTGTGCGTGCGTGCCCAAGATCCCGAGAGGAGAATGGAGGAGAAGGGATTGCGGCGTGACCATCCCCCCTGGGGGGTGATTTCTCGCTTTCTATCTCTATATCTCTCTCTGTCTGTCTGGCGAGCGCACGCGCCCTACAGTGAAAATCTCCCCCCCCCCCCAAAAAAAATACAAATTCTCATAATTTCTAAATTTTGTTTACGGTTTTTAAATAATCTGCAAACCCCCTGAGGGTTGCATAGTAGGAAAAATCAAACATGTAAGTGGCTCCTGAGAAATACTTATTAATTTTATACTGTAAATTCATTTTGGAGAAATATCTACAGGTCTATGAACTAAATAAATCCTTTGAAAAAGTAAAATTAAATAAGATAAATAAAATAGATGACAAATTTTAATGCTATAACTCAAAAGTTTCATATCATTAAGAATTCAATCACTGTTTATAGTTATTTTAAAAACCATTACACTGGAGAAACAATTTGCAAATTTAATGGGACATTCTATTTTATGCCCTCTGACTCTAAGACTGTATCATAATATTTCAGGAAAGACTGTCATCAAATATCATAACATACCAGGAAAGAATATACAAACAAAGGAAAATAACATACCATTTCCTGTTGTGTTGTAGTAAAGATATAAATTTTGGAATAACCTAAAAGAATATTTAAATGTCATTTTAGATTTTGAAAATTCAGTCATTAATATGAATCTGAACCCATTATAAAATTAAAAGATTGTTAAGAAACACACATATGGGTAACTTCTAGGTCTTATCATGAAAAACCTACTATAAGTTGAGTATCTTTTGTCTGAAATGTGTGGGATCAGAAGTTATTTCAGATTTCAGACACTGGAACATTTGCATCAACATAGTGAGATATCCTGAGGATGAGACCCAAGTCTAAACATGAAATTCATTCATGTTTCATATACACCTTACATACATGGTCTGAGTCATTTTGGTCAATATTTTCGTATTGCAGCATTTTGACTATGACCCGTCACACGAAGGCTAGTGAAGAGTTTTCCACTTGTGTCATGTCAGCACACAAAAGTCTCAGATTTTGGAGTAGTTGGAATTTCAAATTTCCTAATTAGAGATGCTCAATCTACATGATATTTGATAAGTAAAATAACTCTATTTCATGAAACCAGTTACTTAAGGATAAAATTACAAAAATAATGAAACAATTCGAAAACAAATCTAGATGAACAGTCTGCTCTCTTCACAAAGTTCACATCTGTGTTGATTTCATAAGGGTGTGAATCATGTTACTTCCTTTTACATATAATACCTACTCTGTAAGTGCTTGTGGAATTTAGAAAAAGTAAATTCCAGTGCCCTTGAATTCAAAGAAAATTTAAGTAACAGGACAAGAAAAGAAATTACTAAATTTATAATAAACTTATGAGACATATTCCAAAAATTAAGCAAAGTAGATATTATTATAACATCAGCAGATCATGACATGGTCCTTCTCTTTAGGCAAAAAAAATCAATGCAACTATCTGGGAAGTGAGAGGAAAAAAAAAAGTAAAAAAACCCAGTATCCAAATTTAGGCAGGCTAGCCAACAGTTACCTAAAATTAGGCTTAATGACACAAAACCAACTGTCCAGGCATCCTGAGACTTTTAACTCCATCTTTTTATACACTATTCATAAAATAAATATGTATGCTTTCTAAGCAGAAAAACGCCAAAACATATTACAAACTTGTGTTATTTTCTTACTATAGTTGGGATGGGTTGGGGCACAGTTAACCATCTGCCAGGAATGTTTACACACAAGCTTCTCACATTAGTATCTATGATAATTAACTCTTAACTTTCCATAATACATTTCCTGACCTATCGGTCTGACTCCAGACTGGGAGTCTTGAGTGCAACATGGCGGTTTGGTCGAAGTAGTATGTAGTGCCTTAGAGGTCTGGAAAGTACAGGCATGCTTACATAAATCATCTCACTGGACCCTTCGCAACCTTCCTAAGTGTTACTATCTTCAGGCTCCAACTTAAAGCCTATGCTAAAGGCTAAGGTCATGCCAGCTAGTAACTGTCAAATTGAGACATAAACTCAAGTCTCCAAACTAAGACTGATAGGATGTGCATGTGGTCTACACAGTATTTAAAATCACACATATAATTATTACATAATTATTTCAGCCAAACAACTAAAGAGACATTTTCTTTTTAAAATAACGAAAAATTACAATAAGACACCATGAATTTAGAAGCAAAATGTACCTTTTCTGGATATTGATGTGGTCCATAAACATTACTGCTTCTTGTGATAACAACTGGAAACTTAAAGAGTATTCAACATTAGACAATGGAAAAGTCCAAGAATAATAATAATTTTAAAGACAGAGTTTTAAAATATGGGCACCTTTGCCTAAATTCCACACACCCCTTAAGGACAGAGTTAAGAAAATCTGTCTCTAATGTAAAGTTCCTACAAAGACAGAAGAGGATGGGGTTTAGATAAAGGCAGAGGTTCCAAAAGGAAGAACGTTCTCTCTACTGAGCAGGGAGAAGGAACACAGATGGAGGAGGCAGGTTGGTACGTCTCTCCGAGAGCAGAACTCTGGGGACTTTTCCACCTGATCAATTCAGAGACTATCTCTCCGACTCTGAGTTTGATTAGCTGTGACACTTCAAGTTGGCTCTCTCCACTGTATCCTTTCTTATGAAGAGTAAGAGTGACCATGAAAGGGAAAGGAACAATGCTGCTGGAGCAACGAAGGGGAGAGACTTGTAAGGAATTCCACGGTTTTCCTTTCTAATCTGACTGGCTTTCTCTAGTGATTCACAAAGATCAGCAGAAGCCAAACTGTGTGGAGGCTCCCTCTATAGACACTGCAACCTGGGGCAGCAGGGGCAAGTCTACATCCCACCCACAAGGGTCCAAGAGAGCGAATCAGACAGAAAGAAGCACGTAGCAGGAAAGGGAATCTTCCCTCCCTCCGCCTTCCTCCATTCAAAGGATTCCAAAAGGGCTTTTCGCTATAGTTTTAACAATCTACCTTTCACTGAAAGAGGAAAAAATATATATATTCAATGATTTCTTTGAGGATGAACTGAAGAAGCAGATCCTACTTTGCCCATGCTTTATAGGAAAATGATTTTTTAATTCCTTAATCTGTAACTTTTCTTTCTTTTTGTTCTGTAATTGCCAAAGGGCATGTGTGCTTGCCACAAAAAAAAGAGAAAGAGGGAGAAAGTACTCCCCAATAGGGCATGGCCACACCACAATCCCTTGTCCATTTCTCCCTTTTGTTGGGACTTGGGGCATGGAAACACATGCACTATCATGTTTTTCTTTTCTTTAAGAGATTTTTGCTATTGGCTGCATGTGCTCATTGGAGAGACAAAGAGAACTGGAGAGACAGACAGCAAGAAATCACCCCCCACCCCGCCCCCCACTCTCCCCCAAGGAGGATGGCCACACCGCAATCCCTTCTCCTCCATTCTCCTCTTGGAATTTTGGGCACACACACATAAGTACCCAGTGTAAGTTTCAAACTGCCAGAACTGGGACTCAAACCATGGTCAGTCACATGGGAGTCCAGCACCTTAACCACTATGCCATCTGTTGGCCCCCACCAATGTTTTTCAAGCCATTAGGGCCAGGATTCTAACCACATAATTTGCCATGTAGAATCCAACTCCCTTAATTACCAGGCAATAGAGTCTGTCCTAACACTTTTCTTGGGCTATATCTTCTATTCTAAAAATGAAATACTGCTCAAATTGACTTGGCGTTTTCATATCTAAGTCCAAAGAAAAATGGTTCAAGAGTTTCTGCAATCAGTTCTTACCTTATAACGCTCCCAGTAAGACTGCACGAAACATTCAGCAGCTGCTTTAGATGATGCATAAGGATTTGTAGGTTGTTTGGGTGAAGATTCATCAAATTCCTAATTTAAAAAATAAGTATTAAGAAAATAAATATTGTGCACAGTTTTTAAGGAGAAAAACCAGGAAACATTACAAACTTGAATTGGCAATCACCACATTTAAAAAACCATTTCTTAAACCACACATGCCTGGCACTTTCCCCAAGACATGTATCTTCTTTATTGATCATAACAATCCTGTAAGGTGGACAGAGAGAACAGCAAGTGCAAAGGCCCTGAGACAGAAGGGTACCCAAAGGAACTTCAGACAGGTTAGTGAGAGGAAAGAGAAATAGGAGCTGAGGTCAGAGAGCTAGAGAGAGGCCAGGTAACATTAAACCCTGAAAGCCACTATGAATATATCCACAGGTTGTAATGGAGTCATACCAGCATCTGACTTACAGTTTAAAAATCATTCTGGATACTACGTCAGATAGAATGGCAAGGGTGCAAGAAGGAGTAAATTTTCCTGAAAAAATTCCCAGAGACCTAGGACCAGCAGATGGCGAAATGGCTACATCGCTGGATTTCCACGTAGTCGATCGTGGTTCGAGTCCTGGACCCGGTGGCTTAAAACTCAGGCACATGTGCATGCGTGCCCAAGATCCCAAGAGGAGAATGGAGGAGAAGGGATTGCGGCATGGCCATCCCCCCTGAGGGGGTGATTTCTCGCTTTCTGTCTCTCTGTCTCTCACTGTCTGTCTGGCAAGTGCACATGCCCTATGGCAAAAACCTCTCCAAAAAAGAAAAAAAAGAACTGAACCTTGATTTTGGACTTTCAGCCTCCAGAACTGTGAGAGAATAAATTCCTTTTTCTTAAGTCAAATTACAAATAAATTTCTACTAAGACTAGGCTGTTGTTCCCCATTTGGCATGGCATCATTTGATTTGATCAAAAGAGACAAAGGAAGAAAGTTTTGGAGAGTGTCCAGTGTGTATACTTGGAAGGATGAAAAAGCCCAGGGTATGTTTAGGGAGACAGGTTTGTACTGTGGTAAGTGCTAAGAAGGTGAAATATGTGTTTTCTAAGCTTACCTTATCAAGACTGCCTCCGTATACCTCATCTGTGCTGACGTATATAAACTTCTCCACTCTGGCTTCATGAGCAGCACTTACCAAAACGTGAGTGCCATAAACATTAACATATGTAAACTCAAAGGCACGTACAAATGAAAGATCTTAAAAAAAAAGAGAGAGAGCGAGAGAAAGGAAGAAAGAAAAGTAAAAAACTAAAATAATTCCACTCAAGGGACAAAACAAATACCAAACTTGGACTAACATTGGTTTAAGGATAGTACTATTCACTTCTTTTCCTTTGCAATTGCAGTAGGTTTAGAAATAACATACACACACATTGATATTGATGTTTTATTTACCCAAATAACATAGTACATGTGAATTCTTAGCACCAAGAAAACTATTCGATCAGTGCCATATTTTTAGGAAATGCTTATTTATTTTAAGAGGAAAGTAAGAAATGCTATTGCTAAATTTACAATGTTTTTCAATATAAAAAGGAAGTTTCCAGTTGTTATTATAGGACTAGACTTTTCAGATCATGCTTTTATTTCTGGGACCAATAAATACTGGATAAATTATTTAAAAATAAATTCACTTTAAAAGAGCTGAACCTTGATTTGGGACTTTCAGCCTCCAGAACTGCGAGAGAATAAATTTCTGATTTTTTAAGTCACCCAGCCTGTCGCATTTTGTTATAGCAGCAGTGTTGAAAATGCCCACAGGTATAAACAGCCCAAATGCCTATCAAGAGTAAAATATAAATCGAGTATGGTACATTCTTAGATTGGAATAGTGCATGGCATTGAAAATAAACAGACCAAATACATGTACATATGAATCTATATAGACTATGAAAAAGCAAGACCAAAAAATCTGCATGTAGTTTTATACGTCCTTTTCTTTTCTTTTTTCAATTTTACTGTAGGGCACATGCACTTGCCAGAGAGAGACACATAGGTAGTGAGAGAAGAAAAGTGAGAAATCATCTCCCAGGGGGATGGCCACGCCAGAATCTCTTCTCTTCCATTCTTTCAGGTTTGGACACACATGCACATACACCCAGCGTGTTTTTCAAGCCACCAGGTCTAAGACTTGAACCACAAAGTTGGCCATGTGAGATCCAGTGCCTTAACCACCATGTTACCTGCTGGCCCTATACATCCATTTTTATAAAACTTCAAATATCCAAAACTAACCTAGGTAGCTTAGGAATAAATATATAGACAACAAAATTGTAGAGAAAAGCAAAGGAAATTATAACTTTAAATCAGACAAGAGGTAGCAACTGTACTGCTCCTAAAGAGGAGTTGGCAACATTTTGATTTTTGTTTAGGCGATGGCTACATGGGTGCTCTCCTTGTCATTATTTACTTAACTGTATATCTAAATTTTTCTGAATCTGTTATATTTCACAAGAAAAATGGTAGATAAATTATTAGGAAAATATCTGAACTGGTAGACACAATAATATAATATGGTATAGATAATACGGGTATACTATCTACAATATATGATATAATAAAATAATGTTCATCACCCAACTTAAGAAAACATAAAAAACACAGTTGAAGATCCATTTCCCCACTACTCCCTTTTAGAAGTAATCACTATCCTGAATTCCTAAACTCAAGGTTTTAAGATTGCATTTAAGGTTATGTTTCAACTTACATTATTCAAAATAATGTAGAGTCCCAAGTACTTGGACCAGCAAATGGTGTAATGGTGTAATGGTTACATCACAGGACTACCACGTAGCACACTGCCATTAGAGTCCCAAACCTGGTGGCTTAAACTTCACACCAGACACGTGTGCATGAGTGCTCGTCCAAAATCCCAAGAGGAGAATGAAGGAGAAGGGACCCCTCCCTCTGGGGGGGTGATTTCTTGCTTTCTGTCTCTCTAGCAAGCTCGCATGCCCTATAGCAAAAAAAAAATCTCTCTCCAAAACAAAACAAGTCCCAAGTATTGATGACATGGTGACTATGGACTAGATTTTCTGGTCCAGCAGGGTATACCATCTTTCAAAGGTCTATATAAAGTATTTACTTAATCGAACCCACTACTAGACTTTGGAATTAGGCTAGTTAGCCACTGGGTAACACAAAAAATTGCCAACCACAATAACATAAAACATTGCTTACCTACATGTGTTTGTGCAGCAAAATGTAGAACTATATCTATTTTCTCTGTTTCAAAAAGCAGTTTCACAAAGTGAGAATCACATATGTCACCCTGTATGAAAAAGAGAACATGGAAAGGCTGGGTTGTCCTCGGCACTTTCATTCATAATAACCATTACTATCTATCCTCCCTGCCTCCCACATCAGTTTAATAGAGAACATCTAGAAAACCAGGTAGTCTAGAAAATACAGTAATAAATGTATTTCTCCGGCAGCATAGGACATAAGATATTCAATTCAAGACATTTTTGCAAATAATTGTAAAACAATATGTATATTATCGAGTACCAACTACTAGTAAGTATAGTGTGAGGGTTTTTTTTTTTTTGCTACACTTCTGCCAATCTAAGATAAATATATTAATAGAGAATTTTTTTTAGCATTAAGTCCTTTAAGGTAATCATTATCAAAATATAATTAAAGTAAGTATAACAGAAATGACATTTTAAAATTGTCATTTGAAAGTGTATTTTATCACAACGAGGTAAAATTATGGTACTTTTGAAATTTATATGTACTACTGCCAATTTTTCTAAAAATATGTATTCTCAGCAATTATTCGGTAACTGAAGAACACACTTTCATACAGAATTATAAAATATTTCCTTAGTTTTTCTTTAAGTTGTATGGTTAAAAGAACTTACAGGGACAGCTTAGTTTTTCTTTAAGTTGTATGGTTAAAAGGAGAACTTACAGGGACAGCAGATGGCATAGTGGTTATGTGGCTGGACTCACACATGGCCAACCATGGCCTGAGTTCTGAACCCAGTGGCTTGAAACTCACACCAGGCACATGTGCATGTGTGCTTACGATCCCAGGAGGAGAATGGAGAAGGGACTGTGGTGTGGTCATTCCCCTTGGAGGGTGATTTCTCACTTTCCCTCTCACTATCTCCTGCAAGCACATATGCCCTAAGGCAAAAACCTCTAAAAAGAAAAAACACCAGACAGAGGGGAAATGCTGCCTTTAAAAAAAAAAAAAAAAAACAAAAAAAACCCATAAATCATAAGATTGTTTCGTTGGTCTGTAACTTTTCCCTTTGCGTATTAATGGTATTAATGAACTGGCCCCATGGTTTAGACCTTGGACTCTTTTTAAGAGTGGTTAGTCAGAATCAACCTTCCAGAACTAACCAAGCCCTAACTGGGGTGGGGAGAGACTATCCTATGAGCTTCACAACACACTTTCACTGGCCTGTTAGATAACATCCTGTTTATACCAATGACTTCAAATGCCATGAGAGCCTTTGAAAGAGGCTAGTGAGTACCTAAAATTATAAACCGTGTGAATTCAGCTAACTTCTCCTAGATCTACCAAGGTACCAGAAAGTCACATGTGGCTTCTTATGTGATGTCCATCAAAGCGGTATTCTCCAGAATCCATGGTACTTCCAATTACCCAACCTTTTAAAAGGCCTTTAATAAGGGCTCCTTCAAAGCCCATAGTACACAAGTTTGTAATGTAGAGAATCTTTTCATGACTGAAGAGGCATAACACAATTATAAGAAAACCTCCATACCTGTATGAATTTGTAGTTTTGTTTGTCAGAAATGGTTTCAAGATTCTTCAAGCTTGCACAGTAATCCAGCTTAAAGTAAGAGGATGATGGGAAAATATTAGCCTTTCCTATAAAATAGCAATTTATTGTAAAGACCACAAATGTTAATCATTTTAATACATGAGCATGTTCTTTTAAAATGTTTGTTCTGTTTGTATATATTTTAGGTTTCTGACACCTTAAAAATAGAAAACAAACAAGTAATTTAGCTACTTGAAAAAAATATGTATCTTTGTATAAACCTCGACTTAAAAATAAAGTTTGGAGCTAGCAGATGGCATGGGGATTAAGACGCTGGATTCCACGTGGCCCACTTTTGTGGTTCATGTGTCAGACCTGGTGGCTTGAAAAACCATGCCAGGTACATGCGTGCATGTCCAAAATTCTAAGAGACTGAACAGGAGGGATTGTGACATGGCCAACCTCTCTCTCTGTTGAATGCATGCACTCTATACCAAAAAAAATAATAATAATTTAATTAAATTAAAATCAAAAAAATTCTTGCCAAAATTTGCCTTCAGCCAGTGGTGGCTAGAAAAGCTTCCCATTCCTTACAGAAAAGGAATTACTGGGTTGTTGGAAAAGTCATGACACATTTTTGCATAGAAAAACACAGGAAAAATACATCATGACTTTTCCGACAACCCAGTAGATGGGCCAGCCCCATAGCCTAGATCCACATGGCTGACTGCAGTTTGAATCCTCGCCTTGGAAGCTTGAAAAACACTCTGGAGACATATGTGTTTAAGCATACCCAAGATCCCAAAAAAGTGGAGAGATGGAGAAGAGATTACAGTGTGACTGCATCCCACCGGGAAGTACTTTCTCCTTTCTTTCTCTATTTGGTAAGCATATGTACTCTCTATCAATTAAAAAAAAAAAAAAAAGGAATTAGTATTGAAAATAATTATATCTGTGGGGGCCGGCAGGTGGCGTGGTGGTTAAGGACGCTGGACTCCCACATGGCCGACCATGATTTGAATCCCAGATCTGGCAGCTTGCTTTCTCACACTTTCTCTCTCTCTGCTCCTTTCTGCTCAAATTAAAATAAATAAAGTTAAATAAAATAATTCTTTTTTAAAAAAAGAATTACATCTGTGTAACACATATCATAATGCATGAAACCTGTTCCTGGTTAACTGTTGGTAAATCAATATACAGACGGAAGTAGGATGGAAGGCCTGCCCATAATGGTAAGGCAGGCAGACACGATTAAGAGTTAAGAGTTATTCTCTGCCTGTATGTTTTTACTATTACTTTTTGTGAAACTAAAATAACTACTTGTATTTTCTGTTTAAATTAAAAAATCCAATGATTACTGACCATGGGTTTCAGATTCTCCATGGAGACTAAAATTATTTACTGCAATAGTCTCATAATTAAATGCACTAAATTGCATTTTAATTTCAAAAATAGGTAGGTGACAATTATAAAATAGTTAAAAAATTAAATCTAAGAAAGCATCCCAATACTAAAATATACTGCAGCATTATTCACAATAGGCCAAGCTATGAACTCAACCTAAGTGTCCATCAGGAGAATAAATGTACATAATATACTATAAACATACGTATTATACCGTATCATTCAAGGCAATAAGGACAAGCGTAGCGGATGTTATATTAAGTGAAATAACACGGGCATAGAAAGAAAAAATTACACGTTCTTGCTCATATGTGGAGTTTGCTAGTTAACCGTACAAGAGTAGAGGGTAAAATAGTGATTACTAGAGGCTAGGTAAAGTAGGGAGAATAGGGAGATAGATGTTGGTTAATGGATGAAAAATTACAATTGGCTGGAAGAGGAATAAGTTTCAGTGTTCTACAGCACACTAGCATAACTATACATAAACATAAGTTATTGTATACTTCAGAATAGCTAAAAGAGGGAACCAGCAGTTAGCGTAATGGCTATGTCGCTGGACTCCCACATAGTCGACCGCCGTTTGCGTTCCGGACCCGGTGGCTTAGAACTCACACCGGGCACGTGTGCATGCGTGCCCAAGATCCCAAGAGGAGAATGGAGGAGAAGGGATTGTGGTGTGACCAACCCCCTGGGGGGTGATCTCTCGCTTTCTGTCTCTTTGTCTCTCTCTGTCTGTCTGGCGAGCACACACGCCCTATAGCGAAAATCTCTCCAAAAAAGAAACAAAACAAACAAACAAAAAAGAATAGCTGAAAGACTATTTTTAAAGTTTTCAAAGTAGTAACTGTCTGAGATGGATATCCTAATTACCCTGATTTGATAACTGCACATTTTATTTACATAGTGAAAAATACAATTAAAAATGTGAAAAATGGAAGTTTCAAGATTTTGTATAAGATTAAATATAGCATTAGTGTATGACTATATAGTTTCCTAAGTTGCTAAAATGACTAAGCAAGAAACTAAAATATCAACATAATACAATTCTAGTACTTTCAAAAAATGTAATGGAAATGTAATTGCAGTGCATGAAGTTCGTTTTTTATAAAACTCACCTTGTCTAGATTTATGATCATATAGTTTGGATAATCTTCTACTAGAGAGACAATCACATGTGATGCTCTTTAAAAAAAAAAAAAAAGGTATCTTGTTAATAGAAAACTTTAACCTCCCTGAATTGTTAAATGTTTTTCTAAGCTACTGAGTATTAGAAAAATTTTCAAAGATAATTTATATAAATGTACTGAATATACACACATGCAGTTTTCACCAAACACCGAGCATTTCAACAGAATCTATGAACAAAGTCTTATACTTTCTGTAGACTATGTTTTGAAAGAATTGATGGTTCTGTGGACAAGGGAAAATCAGTTTAAGCCATGATGCTGTCAATGAACGCTATGAATGTGAGAATAAAGCAGGATGATAAATATAATGGGTGCAAGTCAGCACAACTGTACCCACACTACAACATGCCTTTTCAGGAGCTGCAGATACAATAAAGTAAAAGTTAAACTAGCATGAGGACAGTCCACTGTCTACGTTTATAGTAACTTCTTTCATTGCTACCCCTTGGTACAGGAAGTTGGTGCTCTAAATCAACATCCTCATGGGAGTCCTGGACTGAACCCAGCCTTCCCAGGCTAATAACAGCTGCAACTATCCAGAGCTGGATAACTGTAGGGACTACCAGGCTTCAGACGACATTGGAGTGGAACCAGAAGCATGTCTCAGTGAGATGATCTATCCAATTTTTTTTAAGGTCTTTGCCATAGGGCACATGTGCTCATCACAGAAAGAGACAGATGGATACAGAGAAAGAGAAAGTGAGAAATGATACCCCTCCTCCCCCCAGAAGAGATGGCCACACCACAATCCCTTCTCCTCCATTCTCCTCTCAGGATTTTAACTACACAGGCACATGCACCTGGCATGAGTTTTAAGCCACCTGGTCTGAGACAAACTGAATTCCAGCGCTTTAACTACAATGACACCTGCTGGCACCAATCTACTTGATTTTTATGGCATACAGTTAAAAGGTTGGCTCCCAGGAGTAAGTGCAACCTGTGACCAAATTATAACCTCAGAGTTTGTACGCAGCAATCCTTTCACAGCATTTTCTAGAATGCACCCTCCTGGACCAGCACTCTCACAAATGTATCACGTACCCATGTTCCTCTTCTCATTAAGCGACACTTGCCCACCTGGTACCTTCCTGCCAAATGACTGTTAGAATAGAAGGGGTGATTTAATGTGCTAATGGACAATAAACAACAATTCCCATGCTCCCTTTTCTCCCACTAGGTATGGACCTCCTTGAGGGTAGGAAAGTTTCTTGCTTATTATTCATGCACTTATCCACTCAACAATTACTAAAGATCTTCCAAAATGATACAAGTACTCTTCCAAGTACTGGACAACATCTCTGCCCTCATGGAGTTTACATTCTAGAGTGGGGATGCAGGGAAGAAATAAGTAAACACAAATCCTTAATATAATTTCGGGTAGAGAGAGTGAGTGAGCTGGAGAACAGCTATCTTAGAAAGGGCGGGGACCAGCAGTTAGCCTAATGGCTATGCTGCTGGACTCCCACGTAGTCAACGGGTAGTTTGCGTCCCGGACCCGGTGGCTTAAAACTCACGCTAGGTGTGTGTGCATGCCTACGATCCCGAGAGAACGGAAGAGAAGGGATTGCGGGCGTGGCCATCCCCCGTTGGGGGTGATTTCTCGACTTTCTGTCTCTCTGTCTGGCGAGCGTACGCGCCCTATAACAACAACAACAACAACAAAGTGAAAGGACAGTCAGGTAAGGCCTCTTGGAGGAGATCTCTGATTTAAACCCTGAATTGAGAGGTGCAGACAAGCTAAGCAGAGCAGAGCAAGCACAAAGACCTCAAGACAGGAGGAGGAACTCATTTTTACAAGAACTATAAGAGGTTAAGTATGGCAAATACAGAAAAGCAAGAGGAAACCTGATTGGAAAAGTAGGGCTGGAGCACTAGAACCTTCTACAATCTAATACGGTAGAGCTCGGGCTTTATTCTGATGGGGACACTGTTGTAAAAATGTATGTACTAACACGATTTACTTAAGAAAAACTGACTTCTCTATGAGAAAAAGACTAAAGCATGGTGGCAGTATGACCACTCCAGAGGCTACAGCCGATCTGTAGACAAAAGAAGCCAACGGAGTTAGAGTGGAGGGGGAAACCGTGAGAAGAGACCGCCTTGGCGGATACTTCGGCAGCAGAAAAAGAGGGCTTACAGGTCCAATGTGAGGATGGCAGAAGAGGCATCAAACGTCTGGATGACAACAGAGGAATTTTTTTTAAGTTTGTGAACAAATGAGTGCCCCAAGTCGTTTTGGGGGCGCCTATATGGAAAAGCCTGTGCCTCGTGGTGGTGGCAGTAGGCTAAGGGTGCTAAGTCGTCCGAGAGTCCCGGTACCGTGGGCACACCCGGAGGCGTGGCAGGTGGCGATCTCAGGCCAGATAGGAGGGCCGACACAACAGCACTCGTGCTCTGGGGGGGGGAAGGGGTTTTAAAGAAGTCGCAGTTGCAAAAGAAACGCATCTCCGCAGGCCAAGGAGAGCCAACAAGGAAGGGTCGTCCGGGTGGTGCAATGGGACTTCCCCATATCTGGACCCCTAAAGCTGGACCCAAAGGCAAGCAAAGCCGCAGGGAGAGGTTGGGATTTCTGGGGAGCCACTGCTCAGCCAGCGGCACCGTTACCTACATGAAACCAGCACCCCCGGTCACCAGGACCCGCTTCGCAAAGCCGCTGGGAGGACCCAAGGGTTCCTCCCAGCCCGACGCCGACATCTCCCAGCTTGGCAGTGCCTCGCACCGTAAAGCGCCAGATCTGAAGACGTAGGAAAGTATGACTGCGACTTTTTGCGACGCGCCTCGCCCCCAGCGACACGTTTACCGGCAATCAGCGGCAGTTTCCGGAGAGCGGCGCAGCAGCGGGCTTATCCCCGCCCACTGGGGGCTGGGCTGTGGGGCCCAGGCCACGGCGCGTGCGCAGCTTCTCTTCTCCAGTGCCCGGACCGCTAGGAGCAGGCGGGGAAGAGTGAGCTGGGTGATGTGCGATGTTATCCTGGCAGGTGTCTTCACCATGGATTAGGCTTTGCTTAGGTACTCGGAAGGTCAGAGTTAGGAGACGGTACCTTCTTTTCATTGTATCCCTGCCATTTCCAGAGTTTACCCAGTTGCGCCTAGATTTCCCAGGAATTTTCTTGCTAGATATAGAGGGGCGGTTGCAATTGCAAAATGGTCTTTTTACCGCTGTTGTTAATAACGTTATTAAAGACAGCGCAGGTTGCTTGTAGTCGTGACAAAGATGTTCCCTAGTTCCTTCCCTTGAATCTTACCCTGCATTCACCCACCCTTTTACTCACTCTGCCCCAGCCTCCAGCCCTCTTTGCTGTTCCCTGAATTCGCCAGATTTGCTACTTCCACGGGAACTGAATCTCCATTCCCCAGATGCCGTCCTAGTTCCTACCCTTACCAAAGTTGTCAGCTTGAACGCAGTGCTGTTAGAGAGCTCTTCCTGACCACCCTAATTAAGATACCAAGTTCTACTACAGCCTCGCTGAAACCATCTCGCCTTTATTATGCTTCCCAGCCCTTATCTACATGAGGACAGGGGCTGTGTATGGTTTCCTCCTATAGTTTTATGTCTGGGCCAGAACGAACGGCCGGAAAATATTGTCAAATAGCTGAATAAATATCTTTATTTTTAAAGTAGTGTTGGCAAAGCCTAGAAGGAGTGGAAATAGCTAGCATACAATATGTAGAAATGTCATTTGCTATTGCCTTTTGGAACTTCAAATGTACATCATGAGCCTCAGATTCCATGTGCTGCAGCAGAAGCACCTCCATCTTTGGACTTTAGGTTATACTTGCCCAGAGTATATAGAGTGATTAATAGTCTGTCTTTGCTAACTAGCTGGAAACCTTTTTGTTTAGATGTTCCTTAACAACCTAACTACGGATCACCAGACCCCTGCCCTGAGCCATGGGGACCATTAAACAAAGGTCTGGAGAGTGCCCTTAGAAGTAATTAACCTGCTTGATGCAGCTTCTGTAACTGCTTTTGCATGGGAAACCCACTCCCTTTCCTCTTCGTCCCCTCCTCAGTTTCCATTGTAATCACCCTATCAACCCAGAATTGATTGTGAGTTTTGCCTATATAAGCACCTCTCTTCTTTCACTCGGGGCTGTGGGGTTTTGAGCTTATGCCATTGGCTTAATCAATAAAACTCCAATAAATTTGGCTATGTCTGGATGTCCTCTTCTTGCTGAGTAGACTGTAACAGTGCAACGCAGATAATTGTTCAATGATGTATCTCTACAATAATGAAAAACTAGGCACATCTAAGTGAATATAATACCGTCAATGGGCTGTTATTTAGTCTTTTTAAATTTATTAACTGGTACCTGAGCTCACAGGAGAGAGACAGAGAGGGAAAATGAAAAAGCACTGCCCCCATGGGAGATGGACACACTGCAATCCCTTCTCTAGTTCTCCTTTCAGGAGTTTGGGCACATGTGCACACAACCCTGGGTGTGTTTTCAAGCTGCCGGGGCCAGGGTTTGAACTAATCAATCGGCCATGTGGGATCCTGATGCCTTAACACGTATTGTGAGCCATGGTGGCATGGCAATAATACAACACTTTCTAATGTTGGACTCATGTAGAAGGTTCCAGGTTCACCACCCAAATCCTCCCAGAGGCTGAGACTAGGGATAGTTCACTGTGTAAAGATACTGTGTGGTTTCCTCTCCTACCCCACATCACTAAATAAATAGACTTTTTCAGGACCAGCAGTTGGCATAGTGGCTAGGTCGCTGGGCTCCCATGTAGTTGATCACAGTTTGAATCCCGGACCCGGTGGCTTAAACTCACTCTTGAGTGTGTGCCCAAGATCCCGAGAGGAGAATGGAGGAGAAGGGACTGTGGCATGGCCATCCCCTATGGGGGGTGATTTTTCGCTTTCTGTCTTTTTGTCTCTCTCTGTCTTTCTGGCGAGTACACACACCCTATAGTTAAAAAAAAGTACCTTCAGAAGGAGGAATAAAACAGAAAAAGGATGCAGAGGTTGTGTGGTAGACTACACAGAAGTATTCCAGCCAGAGGGATCTGCAAATGATAAAGCTAAGATGTGAGAATTTGGGAGTAGTCAGTGAACTGACAGTGGTAAGAATGGAGATTAGAAGTTGAGAGGTTGTATTTTGAGAGACTTGAGAGCTAAATGTTAAGAGTTTGGGTTGTGTAGTAAGGACAACTGAGAGCCTTTGGAGGAAAGGAATGTGGTCAAATTGCATTTCCTAAGGCTTTCTGTGGCCTGGAGTAAAGAAGGATTGTAGCCCCTTAGAATTAAAGCTGGAGACAGGTCACTTGCCATAGACAAAGTAAGTCACACCTTCATAGGACTGTAACTGTGGCTTCCTAACGTTAAATAAAAATTATAGGAAGCCACTGTTTTGAACCATGCTCCTGCTCTAGTCCCTAGCAGAAAAGACTGCAAATGAAAATGGAGTCACTCCTGTCTCTGTATCACCAAGTGAAAGCTAAATTGTTATCTGACCTTCCAAGAATCCAGGAGAGAGAGAGATAACAGCCTAGTTCCCCAACAGGCCAATTTCAACCTGCACTTAAAATAAAAAAATAACTTAAAAATAAATTTTAGTCCTAGATCATAAAAGAAGTAACTTGATGTTAACTACTCAGTTATTTTCCTATTGTTCTGTCTCCCAGTCCCCATGTTACAAGGAAAATAACTGAAATGACCACTCTGGTTTTTGTTCTTAATATTTTCTTCAGTCCTTCTCTGTCCATAAAACCCTACGAGGCCCACTACCTGGTTCATGTCCCAGGCGTGGTAGCCTGAAAAACCACACCAAATCTATGCACATTCGTGCCCAAAATCTGAAAGGAGGGAGAAATGGAGAAGAAGGAACCGGGGTGTGACCATCTCCCACCAGGGGCGTGGGGAGTTCTCACTTTCTCTCTCTGTGGTGAGCACATGTGCCCTACGGCAAATTTAAAACAAAACAAAACAAAACAAAACAAAACTTCCACTCCATTATTGGAACACTTACTGTTTAAGTATTACCCAATTGTAGAATCCCAAACAAAGCTAATTACAATCTTTAAATTCTTGACATTTTTTGTTTTTGACACTAACATCTGGTAAGAGGGACTCTTTGATCAAACTGGAAAATAATAAAGTCAAATAAAAAAATCATTGTTTAAAAAGAAAAGAGGGGCTAAAACATTTGGAACTTAATTGATTGGACTGAGGGCCCACGAGGAGCGGGCCTCTGTAATTCCCGGAATGCTGGGAGATGACCTAATTCAAGAAGGCAGCAGCCTCGCAGAGCAACCTCGGTTGTAGGTCCGGAGACGTCATGCATTATACTCGGGACAGGGAGAGTTGAGGGTGTTTGAGACACTATGGTCAACATGTCCTGTAAGCTATATGAGCACCAAGAGGAAAAACTGGATAGGAACAGGGCGCGTGCTCTCTTTGCCAGAAATGGTCCCGTCGTGTATGCCTAAATTCCTCCTGAATTCCACACGCCCCTCGAGGTCCAGCTCACCCGTGCCAGCGCTCCTGCGCATGCGCTGTGGTTCGCTATACTGGGACAACAAGGCTGGTGACAATTTTTCCGTAACCAGAAGCAACATCCTCCTGGATGCTCCACGAAAAAAAGGCGGGAACTAGCCCAAAGGCAAGGAAGTGATGGGACGAGTGGATCTGCACGTCCCGCCCATCTCGGCCTTTCATTGGTGGATATCCTTGGCTCGTGGCAGACAGATTCGTCTCATTGGTCTTCAGTCTCCCGGGAGCGGGACAGCGGCGCTGGCCCCGCCCCTTCCCCGCTGCTGCCGACGTGGGGCTGGCAGCCGCAAGCGGTTAGGGGCCCCGGTGTGGGTGCGGAGCGGGAGGCGGGGATGGGGGGACTGCGGCTGCTGGCGGTGGCCCTCACGTGCTGCTGGTGGCCGCACGGCA